AAGGCTCACAGTGTTTGCCACCACATACCAAAGTTAGCTGTGTGGCTGCCAGTGATTCTACAAGGCATTTTTACTTCTAGTTATTTACTACTGCTTGTACGGTCAGCTCTTTATATCACTGTCGAAAACAACGCAAGGCGGTCTGCTGCCATTTCGCCCGTAGCTGGGATCGAGCCAGCTACCAAATAATTATGCACCGCGTTTGCAAACGTCTAAGCCATAGTCAACGACGCACCAAACCAAACAATGTAATACCCGTTTCTACCAACAACAATCATGCATGTTTACCACATCACATTTCGAACATCTCGAATTATCGTTCAGACTCGTCAGTACTCATAGGCGCTGGCACCTGGTGGCTCACGTGGCTTGAGCGTCCCTGTCCCCATTAAAAAAAAAGGGGGAAATCGGGGCTCGGGGAAGGGGAGGTGAAATGGTCCCCGTTAATCCTTTATAGAAACTCTATGAAGCATTTTTTTTTAAATTTCATATTATTTAGAGTATTATGTTTATTTGACATTCTATGTGACGGCATGCCTGTGATGCTCCTTGAAGCCCGTCTCTCTAGCGTAGTTGGCTAAACCGGATTGCGCGGTGAGCGGATGACGAACTCCTTGTGGTCCGGGTTCACTCCCGGGGGTGGGCAGAAAAGCCACATTTCTCCCAGATTTACGGTATTTACAATGCAATCAAGGCCGAAAGGTTGCGATATCCATAATCCGAGCCTAAGGGTTAACAGCTCATGGCTTCTGGATACTAAAACAAACGATGCTACTTGAAATCACGTTCCTATTTTTGGAGACTAGAGTATAATGAAGAATACTGCGTTCTGCTGTAATAGCCCATGGTTCAAAACAGTTTGAGAAGCACTGCTCTAGATCGTTCTGGTCATACCGTATGCGTCTTATCTTTATATGACTAAAGTATATGAGCTATGGCTAAAACAACGCAGTTGTAATGTGTATGGACTGAATGTGCGCACCTTTATAAGCTCAGTAACCGTTCATCATATAGTATAATTCGAGTTTTAGAGGAAGTGTATGTCGTTTGAAATACTTGGACAAAAAATTATCAAATTAATAACCTATTAAATTGAATTTTATTACTACGGCGGAGAGGAAGCAACAGGAAGTCAACAAAAGAAAGCGAAAGTTGATGTTCGACAGTTATACTCTGGTTTCTCCTCACAATCTTTCGCCTTTATAGATATAATTTTCTCTACAATTGTTATCATGGTAAGTAGGATGCGACGTATATTTAGTTAATTATGTTATATACAGTAATTTTTGTTTCTATACATTAATATTTGTAGAATTTTTTTTTAAAGTTTTTGTTTATTATACAGTTCACACTGATATTATTATTAAATAATGAACTTTAGGCTATCCTCTGAATGACGGCCACATATTATGGCGGCCAAAAACACACTTTGACAGGGCCTCATTAGGTCGTGTGTTGTAATCATTCAAAAACTTGAACTCGAAAATAATGAGGAACGAAAAAAGGGAAACTGACGAAATCGACTACTTAGTGATAATTGAGGCCTTTATAATTTATACTTTATATCTTAAAAAATAAAATTTAATTAGTGACACAGAAGTTGCAAATAGTGCCCAAAATTTGCTCTTTGTGGCTATGGCGCCATTGAAACTCGGCTACATATATATGATCGGTGCCACATTGGTTACGCAGTTTTAACTGCCGAGAGTATCTCCTGCGCCGCTACCCGCAGCATGGATAGGGGGCTAAACTAGATGGCTGAGACTCATAGGCAAATAATTTGGAGGAAGTTGCAGGAGATGCGGTAGCTGCTGCTTGTGAGTCCCAGCCATCTAGTTTAGCCCTGCGGCGCGGGAGATACTCTCGGCGGCGACTTTAACTCGGCGGAAGCTTTTCCTTGGTATGCTGTGTGGTCGCCGAAAGAGGTCCTCAATTTACATGTGACCAAGGCCCTGTTAGGGTGTATTTTCGGCCTCGATAATTTTTGACCGTTATTCGGAGGATAGCCAATGAATTTATTCTTAAGACATATGCTTTTTAAAAAATAATTTATATAACAGCTTTTTACAACTTATAATAGTTTATACTATTACAAGTCATGCATTAATTCCGAATAGAAACGTAATATAAATCTTTTGAAGTCATTTTATTTTGGGTGTCATGATTGATGCGGTAATTTAATAGTTAAGTAGTATCTTCATAATATAAATAATTATTATATTTATGTTAAACGTAATTAATTTTGGTGTCAGTTCAACATTCTTAAGGAGGGTAGTAATGCTAGTAATAGACATTTGGTGCAGGCGCGATGCCATGAAGAAAACATTGCATTGCCATTGGAATGGGGTGGGGGGAGGGGTGGCGGTGGGACGCTGAACCCACTGCGCCCCTCTGAATTTAGGAATCATTGGGGGTGCGGTTGTTGCCCTCCTCATCATAGTACACATTTTCTAGTAATTTGGAGAAAAGGGGGAGGATTGGGGGTGCCAGAATGACCCCCCACCTCATAAATTTGCCAAGGGTCTGGGATGCCTAATTAACCATGTAAAGAAATTATATTTAAAGTACTTGTTGGCTATTCTCCAAATAACGGGCACATATTATGGCGGCCGCAAAAAAAAACCCAACAGGGCCTCAGTCACATGTCAATTGCGCACTTCCGGCGACTTAATTTGTGGACTACCGCCACCGCCGAGAGTATCCCCTAGGCCGCTAACACGGCGTGGATTGGGGCTAAACTAGATGGCTGGGACTCACGAGCAGCAGCTTCTGCATGTCCTGCAGCTTTGCTCATGAGTCCCAGTTTAGCCCCAATCCATGCCGCGTGAGTGGCGTTGGGATACTCTCGGTGGTGGTGTTAGTCTGCACATTAGGTCGCCAGAAGTTCGCAATTTACATGTGACTGAGGCCCTGTTTTTGGCCGCCATAATATGTGCCCATTATTCGGAGGATAGCTTACTTGTTTAATGTGTTTATACATTTCATATTATTTAAAGTATTTTTTTTAAAGATTTATTTGCACATTATTATTAATATTCTTTTTCTTCTTATTATTATTTTTATGTGAAATGTATAAACACATACTAAAGAACATTTCTATACATGGTTAAAGGGGGCCTTTTGGTCCCCTTACAAAATTTGTTGGGGCCCAAGGGAACTAAACCTCCAGGTCCGGTTGGTGACCTGATCATTATAACTCAGACTGTCTTTACTTTCGAGTCATTTCCAGCTACCAGTTTCATCCTTAGTCACTACAGGAGCCTATGCTAATCTTTAAAATTTGCCCTGATAGGGCTTTAGTCACAAGAGCACTGGGTCAGCAGGCAAGCATGATAGCTACTACACCACTGTTGAGGATTTGTTAACAAAGAGAAAGTAGTCCTACCCCAGGCTTTATTTCTAGAGCAAAAGATGCCAGACTCAAGTGTAACAGTAACCCTGAATAAATTATGATTCCCCCCCCCCCCCCCCCCCCCCCCAAAAAAAAAAAGAGTACTGCATACCATTGTAGATCGCTAGAAAAAAAAATCCATGGTAGCATAGTAGCTAGATATTTCTTGCTGGCTGAAGGTCTTGGGTTCAAATCTGCATTGAGGCAGATTTGATTTCTAAATTGACCTTGGCTCTGAGGTCGACCCAGTGTTAAATGGGTACCAGGTAATGGCCTGGGAAGTAAAGTGGCTGGGATGCTGACCACTAAACCAACCGATTGCTGTCTTTAACAAATGAGTCGAGCATCGTATGCCCAATACATACCTGGTAAATAAAAATAGATCCCCTTTTTTTGTGGTTATTCACTTATCTAGACACTGCCTTTCAAGAGGTTGCAGGTGTTGAGGGGTCACCTGGATATTTGCCAGGCTAGGTAGGTGTGTTTGGGAATAAGCACTGTTAGGTTGGCTGCATTGGCCCCATTGAGGGTGTAATGCAGCTGCACAAGAGATGATCCCTCACTGGTGGGAGGAGGAAACAAGTAAAAGGGAGAAAGGCATAATGAGTAGTTAACCAAATGACAGCGGCTGTTAAGAAGGGAGAAAGTTCTTCTTTTGTGATCGCAGTCTGATTTACACTGATGCCTTTAAAAAAGGGTGCTGTTCCATAAGAAGAAAGTAATGTGTATACGAATGACGGCCAACCTTTATTTAAGGTTTGACGACTACTTTTCATTTCATAAATAACTGGTGGTCTGCTGTATAGACTGAAGACTAATTAAGAGGATCTTAAGGGGGAGGGAATACTAGTTGACCCATAGACCGTGGTTGATTAATTAGCCACTGCTGGTGTATGCTTTAGAGGTGGGGATTTTAGCACAAGACCACTGCATTGGGACAGCAAGGAAATATGATAGCTACTTCACTACTGTGGATGTTGAAACGGATTTAGAAAAAAAAATTGCTTTGGCCTGTCATATTGACTGGCCTAAAAAAAAAAGAGTACCAGAAAGTTTACTGGGAGGTAAAAATGACCACCAGTGTATTAACCAAATCATCAGTCATGTACCATTCTGTCTACAATTTATGGAACTTGTATCATATATCCAGTATAGCTTAAGTCATGGGAAAAAGGGGGGGGCTGCGGGGTCTGGAGGCATGGTGTCCTCCTCGAGTTATGGACGTTCCGGGCTCAATCCCCGGTATGGACTGGGATTTTTTGACGTGGACTTGGACTTCTAGTAATACCCCCTGGTCTCTGGGTAGTGAAATGGGACGCCCGTGTGCATTGTTGCGCATGTAAAAATTCCTTTTGCAGTTGGAAATTGAAAAGAGTAGCCTAACGGCACTGCCCGGGCAAAATTTGGTGTTAAAAATCTACCCAAAGTATTTCAGGATCCTTGCCGGTGCTACAGAGCCTGTGCACTGTGCTGAGCTTCTTCGGACTCAGACTTGAGTTAAAAGAAGAGCGGAGCACATATGGGTTACACCCATGTGCCATGATGTTGATCCACTGTTCAAAACCTCAAACCTCAAATGTAAAAGGGTCTTCTTTCTTTCTGTTTTCAGAAATTTGGTCTGCAGATAAATGCAGAGCTTGAAAATATCGAGTACGTGAAGGCAGTCGGAGATGACTTTAGGTGGTACATGAAAGTAAGTATTTGTTATATTTCCAAATGTTATACAGCCCCATCATCCTCTACGACAGTGGCTTTCAACCTTCCTAATGTCGCGACCCTTTAATACAGTTCCCCATGTTGTGGCGACCCCCCAACCATACAGTTATTTTTGTTTGCTTTTTCATAACTTCAGTAAAAATGTGTTTTCCGATGGTTTTTTGGCGACCCTCTGAAAGGCTCGTTCGACCCAAAAAAAAGGGGCCATGACCCACAGGTTGAGAACCGCTGCACTCTGGCATTTCATTATGGTTATTTTATAGTCCTCATAAAATATCACTTAGGATTAAAATATATCAAAGGTTCTTAAATCTGGAATGCAGGAGTCAGATTTCTAAAGATAGAATTGGGAGGATCATGATACGTTTTCTGGAAATAAACAGTTGATCCAGGAGTCCTGGTCAGCCAAGCTTACAACAGATACCAGGAAATGTCCTAAGAAGAAAGGCAGGCAGCAAGGTTTTGATTGCCTCACACGTCCTCTGCTAATTTAAAATATGAAAAGGGGTCTTTACTTTTTTTTTTTTTTTCCCTTTCCCTGCTTGCACAACCCCCAAGGCGATTAATCTTTCTTCTCCTGTATTATTTATGACTTATTCTCTGTGTGGTTTCATTCTGAATCATGTAAATCGCAGCAGTAACGATTTTCTTTTGGTCTATTTTCATGACTTTCAGACAGTCTAATGAGAACTGTAACATGGAAAAGATTGGAGCCTCCTCATGTAATATTTCCAGGGACAGCAAGGGGTGTATATATCGAATGCAGTTTTGGATATGGCACTTGTTAAAAATTAACTGTTTTACATGTGCAGCAACTAAAGAACCCCCCCCCCCCCCCCCTCCCCAGATGTATTTGCCTTTTGCCCTTAAACAAAGCACAAAAGTAACATAAAGAAGCTTATGTTCTAATTTTTTATTCTAGAATTTAAAAAAATACAATTTTCTACATTTCTACACTTTAAATTATCCTGGGTAAATGGTGCCAGTCAAAGATGCGACCAGTGAAAAATAAAGCATATAAAAAAACCAACAGAATTCATAATCTCTTTAAGTCACCCCTAATTACTGGCATCATGAGGGCTGAAAGACTACAGTGGAGGGGGGTATATAGAAAGAATGGCAGATAGAGACAAACACTGCACACACAAAACTTGAATGGGGGTAGATCATGAGGGGCATATAGAGAGAATGGCAGATAGAGAAAAACACTGCACACAAAAAAGTTGAATGGGGGTAGATCATGAGGCAGACCAAGAAGAAGGTGGAGAAATAGCTTATAGGCAGACTTGGAAACACATGGGGTCATGAACTGGAAAGAGAACGCCAGTCACAAAGATGAAGCCAGGCTGATGTTATCTGCAGCAGTGCATCTCAAGGGCTCAGGGCTCTGAAAAAGGAGAAGAAAATTTGCCCTGCATAAATTTATGTAGGCTAGTCAACATTTGGAAGATTGGTGTTGAGGTCATCAGATATCATTCTGCTGTTCTGTCCTCAGTATTTCTCAACTTAGTATGAATCTGTCCTTGCCTGCTTGTAGGATGTACTTTTAAGCATCATTATTTGCTCTTCTCTTGACTTTTTTCTGCAGTCTTCTTAGAGTTTAACAAATGTAAACTCCAGCAGAAAGTTGTGGTTTTTCATTGAGTTCTAGAATTCAGTGATTCGTGAACTTGAACTATGATTGTACATCCATTTTACAAATCTGGCTTATTTGTATGCAGACTGTTAGTTCCTTGCCTCTCAGGCATGTGCATTCTGACTTTGAAGAAAACATCTCTAATTAAATTATCTTTTACTGCATGCTTTGGGGGGGGGGGGGGGGAGGGGCAGTGTGTATATTCTACCCTATCCCCACAAAATTGATCCCTTGAACCCAAGTAACCCAAGTGGGGATCTCTCCAATTATTTTAAATATTTGACTTCTATGTGTCATGTTTTTGTTTTGTTATGTGGGGTAGCCAGGTCCAAGCCAGACTTCATTAGAAGCCTCCTGTAAGTTGCATGGTTTGTTGTGCTCTTTATTATTTTTCAAATTTGTAACATTCTTGGTAACCCACAGATGACTTTAAGCACGTTCAGCCTGATTCTGACCCCATAGGATTAAGAGAAGCTGTGTTGGCAGTTTTAGCCACCGGGCTCCAGAATTCTCATAGTGTATATAAAGGGATTTTCTGTTGCTGGAGTGGCTAGATTAATGGCTCTCCAGTGTGCTGAAAAGATAGTATAGATGTCTGAGGTGTCATTTGTTGTTTCATCTTTGATCTTTTCACGTTTTGTTTGTCCCCATTGGTTATGCGTGGATCTGCTTCTGCTGTCAGCCCATTTATAAGTTTGCCCATAAAGAGGGGTCTAGGGTGAGGCTCGATGGGACCAGTCATGTTTAAGTGCATAGTAATAATAATTATCATTATTACTATGATGCGGCGTATATTCGTTGTGTGTGATGACCACATCTCCCATTGAATGCTGATTGGTCTGTAAACATATTGGTCTAGCACCATCTGCCTGTTGTGCCATTGTCTGAAAAGGGTCCTTTACTTACTTTAGTGAGGCACGATGACCAGGGCTTTTTCTGTCTCCTAGAAAGAAAGGTGTCACTACTCACCACAAAATGTCTGTTAAAAAGGTGCCGGTACTCGCTACAAAGTGTCTGTTAATAGCTGTGCTAAAAATGTTGCATTAAAACAAAAAGGTGACGCCAATGCACACCGTTGCGTATCACAAGAAAAAAAAAAAAGAAAATGGGGATGACCTAGTGTTTTTTTTTCTTCTTGGTCGAGTGTGTCAGAAGTGTTTGATTGCACACCTTTATTTGACCTTTGAGATATTGAAGGTATTTACCGTATTGTTTAGAGTATACTTTATAACTTCCCCCTAGCCATATGATAAACGATGATACAGTAAGGATAATAGCTACACCGTCTTAATTAAAATATACAGCACACTGTCTTATATCAAAATGTACAGCACACTGTCTTATATCAAGATATACAGCACACTGTGCGTTGAAATATTCAGCACGCTGTCTTATATCAGAATATAGAGTAAACTGTCTTTCATTGACATATAAAACACACTGTGCTACATTGAAATGTACAGGGCAGTCTTTCATTATATAGAACACATTGTCTAACATTGACATTTACAACACACTGTCTTACGTTGAGATATACAGCACACTTTCTTATAGTATATAGAAAACACTTCTTACGATGTATAGAACAGCTGTCTTAGATCACAAAGAATGCCCGCTGTCTTACATTGAAATATACAACACACTGTCTTACGTCATATAGAACACACTGTCTTATATTGAAATTTACAGCACACTGTCTTAAATTGAAATATACAACACTGTCTTACATTATATACAACACACTGTCTTATAATAAAATACACAGCAATCTTCTCTCTTTAAGAATAAGACTTTATTGATATAGGGATGTGCACTTGTAATATCAGTAAGTGCGGAACTGACACTGTATAGGACACTCATTGAGAAACTTGATAATAATATAGCTTTGCACTAGAACTAGCAGGGGCCAGTTAAATTAATGGAAAACAAAAAACATAACAAAGAGAATTAAAGACAGAGGTGAATCAGATGGGGAGAAAAAGACATTAACTGCAGTCACTGGCAAATTAATGGATAGTCTGGTGAATGACTTTCCTTCCCTGGGGAATAAAGAGCCCAGAAAAAGAATGGCAGGGGGAATGAGAAGAAGGTGCTGAAGTTAAAGGACCCTCTTCCATGCCTTCAGGCACATTGGGCATATTGGGCTAGACCTTTATTATACTCACCAATTGGCACTCAGTGTGGTCAACATCACATCAGCTGTCTTTACTTCTCAGGACTCTACCTGGTACCCGCTCAAGGCTAGGTCGACCTGGAAGCCAAGGTCATTTTTGGAGAAAGCCCAGCATCATCAGGACCTGAACCCATGACATTACAATTTGCAGGAGTCTAGCGACTACACCACATAGCTGCCAGGCATTTTGAGTACAGAGGGCTAAACCTATATTTTATAGACCAATCGGCACTCGATGGGTGATGTGGTTAACATCATGCCAGCGACCTTTGCTTCCCAGACCTCACCTGGTACAATTTTTAGGCTGGGACAACCTAGGAGCCAAGGTAGTTTCTGAAAAAAAACTTTGGGCCCACAGAGGAGCCTCTGGTCGCTACATGGTGGCTCCTGAGAAAAATTTAGTGATGGTAAAAAATAAAATAGGTTTGTCAGGTATTAGAAAAGTAATTTTTATTTTAAAATGTTTTCAGGAAAACTTCCCTTTAAGCACTGGCAAAGGAGATGCTAGCTTGGTGATAAAATGCAAACTTTGCAAGAGGGAGAGCTCACTTGGTAATAGTTTTCAGTAATTGTTTTTGACAAGTTCAGTCATTCTGTGATTTCACATTTAAGTTATTGTTTGAGTATAGTTTCTGTGGTCTGCAAGTTTTAGTGTAGTTACTGTAGTCTGCAGGATTTAGTATAGTTTCTATGGTCTGCAAGTTTTAGTATAGTTTCTGTGGTCTGCAAGTTGTAGTATAGTTTCTGTGGTCTGCAAGATTTAGTATAGTTTCTGTGGTCTGCAGGATTTAGTATAGTTTATATTGTCTGCAAGATTTAGTATTTTTTCTATGGTCTGCAAGCAAATTTGATTGCTGCCTGCTTTCTCTAACCCTTTTATTACCCCAGAGGTGCTTTAAAAAAAGGGTCATAATAACAGACATTTCTTTAAAAAAAAAATCCTTTTAAAAAGTCATAATAAATTTAAAACACATTAATTTGTTTACATTGCACATTTTGTAACATTTGAGAAATATATTAAGGGGGTAATCAGTGAACACAAACAAGCTGAAACATTTCATGGGAATACATTTCCTGGGACCTTGAAAAATGTTTTGGGTGACTCATACCATCTTCTTCTTCGTGTTCGCCGGGAAAAAATGTTGGTTGTTCATCCACCTGTGGACTTTAGTCTTGCTCCAGAACTTGGGTGTTGTGTGCACATCTGTTTTACAGATCTGATTTATCTGTATGCAGACTGTTGGTTTCTTGCCTCTCTGATGCACTCCGGCTTCCAAGGCAACCCCCAGTTTGTCGACTCTTATGACATGCATGTTGAGGGAGGTAGTAGGTCTAATCTTGTTTCCCAACACTGGAAACTCATGCCATGACCTCATCAGAATTCTATGGGTGCAGATGTAACAGCCTAGATGTAAGCTTATACAACAAAATGTGTCAACTACCCTTTTTAGTTATATCCTTAACATTTATTACTTAAATTAAGATATGCTGGAGCGAGTTCAAACAATAACACTGCTAGAAAAATTGAGTTGAGTTAACATTATGGTAGAATGGGTTGATGTTCTGGTTGAAAAAAGATAGTTTAAAAAAACAAAAGCTTATCATAACAAGAGTAACCAGTGAACGCATGGGGAGTTGCTTAGTACTGAAAAGTTAAATATATTACGTTTGATATGTAAAGGTGGAAGTAAATGGGAAGGAGAGGATACAGAAGAAGATGACAGGAAAAGGATGAAAAAAAATGAGGAGGGAGAAAATTAAGAAGATGTAAAGGAGTAGCAGAGGATGTGGAAAGAAAAGGAGAAAAATAGGATAATTATTCAGTATGAAATGTGGGATGTTTTACTCAAATCTTGCAGCCTCAAGCAACACATGTAAATTACAACTATTGCAATGTTTTTATTTCTTCCAACATTTGGTTAAATCAAAAAAAAGAAATCTGGCTTTGTTAGTGGTCTCTTCCTCTTTGGTTATTCTGTTAAAAAGTAATGCATTATGAAATTGTCTAGTGGGTGTCTGCTATGAAACCTTCAGGGAATGAAAATGTTAAGGAAATCTAGTGTACCGGCACTGTAAGACTGAAATTGTTCAGCCGTCTAGTAAAAATGAATTCAATGATGCCTGCAGCAAGTGCGTACAATGTGAAAATGGGAATGCCTAGAAGCAGAGGAGGCTCCAGAAGAATTTTGATTAAAGGCGCAGCTTTCGGCTAAAGACCATACAGCATCATAACATAATTGTTCATTTGAGTGTATTCTTGCTCAACATATCATCCATAAAACTTATTTTGACAAAAGAAGCAGTACTATAAGAAGCAGCAGTCTGAACATAGGCCCTCAACCATGTCACATCAAGACATCCTATCCTTTGCTGGTGCATACAGCTCACCCCATAACCTCTCCATCTTTTCAACGACACTCTTTAGTTCTCTTCTCCATGTACTGTCGTCTGGAAAGATGGAAAGGTGCCAATAAAATCCTTCTCCATGTGTTTTATAGTCTACCTTATTTCTGTGCCCTTGTGGGTTTCAGTGTAAAGACCTTCAAGTTACATTATTCTCATGTTTTCTCATCATATGTCCTACCCAGTGGCAGCATATTTTCCTCACCTCTTGATTCACTGTTATTTATTTAGCTCTCTGTCCATGCTGTGTATTAACTCTTTGTGTCCCAGGGGGTTAGCATCACAGGCCCAATGGGTAGTAAAGAGAGACTAAAATCGACATATCATGCGTTCATTGGGCTTCTAGGTGAGAACCTATGAACGTATATATAATGTGTTCTCTAGGACTCAAAGAGTTAATGATTATATCATATCGCTTAATTCCCATTTTCTCTGCACAGGCATAAGTTATTGAATGTTTGTAGTTTATAAGTAGTTGTAAATGTAGTTTTAAACAGTTAATAATGAAAACATTAGTAATTTTCCTTTTTGTGTGTGCTGCAGACATAATAGAAGGAAGTGTTGCTGCCTATACCAATGAGAAATCAGGAGAATTCGCTACCATTGTTACATTTGATTGCAGGGGTGTCCATCCGACAGATTTCTCTCCCAGGGTATGTATCTGTTTTTTATATTGTTCAGTACTGTTTGTAATACAGTTTTATGTATGCATTTGTGTATAATAAGTTACATGGTGACCCGATCAACTTCTTTGCAATGGTTCTTACCTCACTTTCTCCCCCCCCCCCCCGCCCCCCGCCCCACCCCTCCACTTCATATGGCTTAATTTATATCCACTGAATGGCTGACTGTCAGCTTAGTGATTCACACAAAGTACAGACACAAGTAACTGATGAAGTTGTTCTTTTGTGGGATGCAATTTTTCATTTTTTTAAGCCCCACCCTGGCTCTTGCCAGGGGGCCGCAATATAGCCTGGCCTTAAATATGGTCTAATGGCTGAAGACGGTTTCCGGGACCTCTCCACGGGTGACCCTCATCCACATGGTGACACTTTGGGGTAAAATGTACTACTACTACTACTACACAAGTAACTCTAGTGATGATCCCCATGGGTCCAGAAATGAATGATGTAATCCAAAAATAAACCTACAGCCCTCAGAGTATGAGAATCTATTTTTATTCTTGTAGGTTTGACCGCTTGGCCATGAGGAAGCTGTTTTGTTATTGTAGGTCTGACCATGTCCATGAAGAACCTGTTTTGTTATTATTGTAAGTTTGACCACTTGTCCATGAATAACCTTTTCTGTTATTGTAAGTTTGACCACTTGTCAGTGGATAACCTTTTCTGTTATTGTAGGTTTGACCACTTTTCCGTGGATAACCTGTTTTGTTATTGTAAGTTTGACCATTTGTCCGTGGATAACCTTTTCTGTTATTGTAAGTTTGACCACTTGTCCGTGGATAACCTGTTTTGTAATTGTAGGTTTGACCATTTGGTCATGGATAACCTTTTTTTTTAATAAGTTTCACCTCTTGGCCAAGGATAACCTTTTTTGTTATTATAGGTTTGACCTCTTGGCCAAGGAGAACCTGTTTTGTTATTGTAGATTTGACCACTTGGCCACAGAGAACCTGTTTTGTTATTGTAGATTTGAGCACTTGGCCACAGAGAATCTGTTTTGTTATTGTAGATTTGACCACTTGGCCACAGAGAACCTGTTTTGTTATTGTAGATTTGACCACTTGGCCACAGAGAACCTCTTTTGTTATTGTAGATTTGAGCACTTGGCCACAGAGAACCTGTTTTGTTATTGTAGATTTGACCACTTGGCCACAGAGAACCTGTTTTGTTATTATAGGTTTGACCTCTTGGCCAAGGATAACCTTTTTTGTTATTATAGGTTTGACCTCTTGGCCAAGGAGAACCTGTTTTGTTATTGTAGATTTGACCACTTGGCCACAGAGAACCTGTTTTGTTATTGTAGATTTGACCACTTGGCCACAGAGAACCTCTTTTGTTATTGTAGATTTGAGCACTTGGCCACAGAGAACCTGTTTTGTTATTGTAGATTTGACCACTTGGCCACAGAGAACCTGTTTTGTTATTGTAGATTTGACCACTGGGCCGTGGAGAACATGTTATTTTATTGTAGGTTTGACCAAGGACAGCCTGTTTTGTTGTTATATGTTTGACCACTTTGCCATTGAGAACCCATTATTACTATATTTCTAACATACTGTCTTTCAAACTGTGCTGATGTTATACTTAAGAAAAGTAGTTACATAATACATTAGGTGTCTAATGTTGAAAATAATAGAAAGTAAAGTCCAGGGGAAAAGAAAAAGAGAATTTTAAAGAAGCTTTACTTACGTGCGAGGATTCTGCCAAAATTTAAAAAAAAGTAAGAAAAGGAGACAGTAGAGTGACGTGATCTGATGGCATCTTCATCAGTGTTTGAACTGACTTAAAAAGTATGTCACACATCCTTTGTATGTTTTTGTTGTGCAGTTTTACTCTCAATAGTTTGCCATTGTTTTCTGAACAGTACGTCTGGTTAAAATCAGTGCAAAACAGTCTGCTGCTAAACAGTCTTGTTTTGATCAAGGCCCATGATGAGAGGAGACAATTGTAAAAGTTTAAATCACCAGACTTAAATGGGTACCAGTGGTAAGTAAAGTCTTGGAAGTAAAGGTGGCCAACGTGATTTTGACCACATTACCCATCCAGGATGGATTGTCTGTACAAATATGAGTCTGGCCTCATATGCCGAATGTGCCACTAGCATGTAAATGGACCTTTACCTTAATAAATACCCGATTATCTAGCAAACTTTCAGATTTTGTCCCAGCAGAACAAGCTATGAATGCTGTCTCTGTATAAGTGAGAATATGCTTTCAGTTGTATATTTCACAAACCCTTGTATGGGTTCCAAGGCTGCATGGTGTTGGGAAGAGGGGTGAGGGGGGGGGGGGAATGAGGAAAACCCACTGCCCCTTATCATGCATTATGTAAAAGCTGACCAGTTTACTGAAAGTTGATGTGTTGGGCCAAAAGGCAGATACATTTCAGCCTAAGCTGTAAAGTCACAACACACCAGCTGTTCTTCTAAAGGCCAACACAGAGATGAACAAACAAACAGCCTTTATTTTCAAAGGATCACAAATTAGGCATACAGGCCCATTTTACATTCTGCCCTTCCAGACACTTACTGTTCATACCGCAGTTGTGTTTTATCAATAAAGCATGTTGTGTTCATATAACATCATAATATGAACAGTTTTTAAAAGAGAAAAGAAATCACAGTCATGGATGTAAATCCATGCACACACCACATACATATGTACACGCAGACACAACAACCATACATACATGCTCACACTCAGACACATACATACATATACACAGAAAAAGAAAAGGAGGAGAAGAAAGAAAAGGTAAAGGAGAAGATGAAGAAGGCCAATTCCAAGATTTTTGTTCATATAAACATAATATTTATCTTAGAAATGGGAGAGCTTTGAATTCAGGATATGTTATTGACGCGTGCGAAATGCTCCGCTTGATGCACCGCACACTTGCCAAGTTTCCAGGTATGCCTAATAGTGTTACAGATCAAAGTCACCACTCCCGCCCAACAGCAATTAAGAACGCTGGATACATGTCGAACGTCAAAATATAATTAATGTATTTCAAAACCAAGACAATGAATCCCCATGAATTTCTATACTGCCACAGTCATTCCTACTGGCAAGGCAACACACACTCCGGACGCTCTGGGCTACTTCTATTGCCACCCTGTTCCGTGGTTAACAACGAGCAAACATTACCTGCTCGTGCAAACCCACTGCTCGTGAGTACGTGTCTGTCTCAATGACACCCATCCCTTGGGTACACTGTCACTAGAAAGAACATACAGGCCCATGCACAGTACATTGTGAAACTTGTCCAGACCTTTCGTCTGCGGCCACACGAGCGTCTGTCACGCTGGCGCGACCGCTGTAATAACACTCACAGACAGCCCGTACCCTACCGCCAGCGTAACACAGTTATGCAGGACCAGCCTGGATCCATCCAGATTAGAACAGGCTTCCTACACAACTTAGTAGAGTCCACCGTTACTCACTCTCTCTCTCTCTCTCTCTACATTACGTTCAATGTGTGCGCACCGCACCAAGTCCCACGTTCAACAATGAACTTCCCTTCCCATATATTGCACACAACAGTTATATATTAAGGATTCATAGCTCCATTAACCTTTTCTCTACTTGTGCAGATTGGCTGGGAAGTGAAAGGACTGGGGTCAGATGCCATCTTTTCAGATGTTGATCTTTCAAATCTGGTAAGTATCAATTCTGTTACTCATTTACCTGATATTTTGTTCTTCTATTTATGCCCTTGTGGAGCATAAGTCCTCATCGACTATGCACCAGTTTTTGAGTCTGTGTGTGTGTCTTTTGTTTGGGTACAACTCAACCCTTTTCCTTCCAGTCTTGTTCACTTCCTTCTCTAATTCTCTTCTCCATATGTTTTTGTTTTACCTCTGTTCCCCATATCCTGTGGGTTTCACTTAAGGACATTATAGTTATATTAGCAGGTTGTTGTGATTATTATTATTTTCTTTTTTAAATATGCCGTATCTAACGCCAGCATTTGTTGTTGCTTTAGCTTTTCCTTACCCCCCATTCGAGCAACAGGGTTAATAAATTGTGGAGACTAGCTTCTAAACTGGTAAAAAGTAAAAAAGTACAAATCTGTTTTCACGCCCTTAGGAGCATCAGGCACATGGGAAGAGCGCCCATATTTTTACAGACTATACGGCACTGGGTGGGTAATTTGGTCAGCATTACGCCGACCGTGTTTACTTCCCCAGAGCATCCATCCTGGTATCCATTTCAGGCTGGGTCGACCTGCGACACTCCGTACCACGATAAAATTCCACGCAGCCAATAGTGGGTTTTGATCGCGGTATGTTGGTATTACGAGTTGGACTTGCAACGCCATAGTCACGGACGCCGCTGCTAAACGCTAAACTGGTAAGCAAAATTAATTGCTTTAAGCATGATTGTGAGCTCTCAACCTGGTGGCTACAAGACTTGGGGCTGCTTTACTGCTGTCATCAAGATCAGTTACTTTGATACTCTTGCAATCTCCGTAGAGCACACAAACCTTTGCAGGCTCCACCACAGCACAGAATGTTGTGAATCCTCCCTTTGTTACCGCAGTTCATTTTTGTCATGGAGTCCCCCCTTTGGGGTGTACTGCAGCTGCACAAGGAAGGCAGAGATGATTTCTCACCTGTGGGACAAGGTAACATGTAAGATACTGAAAACCTGCATTAGGAGAAAATGCAGTGCTTTAACATCCTGCCCCAGATGACGTCACAGGACAGGCCAACATTTTAGAGGGTTGTATGACTGGGTTTCCCTGCTTTCTGATGCTTTTAACGACCCCAACACATCTAGAACTGGCCCTAATCCCAGCCCACCTACATCCCACGAGAGAGTGCAGCCTAGGTCCCACGACTGCATGCAACCTAGGTCCCACGACTGCATACAGCCTATCTACCACCCCCTGAAATATTAGACTGTCCCGTGACCTGTGAATTTCCCCTGTTTGGGGTAGGATATTAATAAAGCACCAAAAATGCACTTACTGAACTTGATGCAGCTGGGAGTGTCTGCAGGCTCTGGGCGCCACTGGAGACTCGGGGAAAGGCAAGATGAATAAACAACCAGATGACAGTGGGTATCATCAGAATAGAAGCTCTTTGCTGGCTGTTGAAGAGGAAGACAGAGCTTGTCCTGTGATGTCAAATCTTTACCTAGACCTACCTTGGGAAGTGGAGAGGTGTAGGTCAGTATGAAACCTAGCACTGGGCAGTTTTTCCACTTCCCACTTTGACACGTAGGAAGTCGCCATGGCCTAGAGGCTAGAGATTCACTTGCAAATCGGAAGGTCATGGGTTCGCTCCCTGGAGGAGCTGGAAAAAAAATGACCTTGACTCCCAGGTTGACCCAGCTCTGAGTGGGTACCAGATGCAGTCCCGGGAAGTAAAGGCGGCTGGCTTGATGCTGACCACATGACCCATCCTCTGCCGATTGGTCTGTAAAAAAATAGGTCTAGCCCTATACGCCTAAAGGTGTGGAAAAGGGACCTTTACTTTACCTTGACATGTAGATATACTTTATTGTTTCGTTGCAGTCTACATAGTTCCTATGCATCACGAGGTAAGGAAAAGATGTTGATGACAGGACACACAGTTAGAAAACCTAATAATAGTTGAACTAGAATGTCATTTCAGTGGAACCCATAGGGAAAGAGAAAGAGAGACCCAGTACTCATTTAAGGCTGGGTCAACTGGGAGCCAAGGTCATTTTGGAAAAAAAAGTCAGGCCTCGTCCGGACCTAACCCAAGACCTTTGGATCAGCAGGCGAGCATAGTGTTGAATGTTGAATTAAAAATCGACATCACAGCACTCGGGACACTCCCATAAGTGCTCAGTCCCCATCTTCAGCAGCAGGCGAAGAGTTCCAATTCAGATGGTACCAGTAACCATCTGATCGTTTATCCTCCTTATCCTTCTTCTGAGTGTTGAGCGTCGGCCAGGTCCCCTGGTAACTCCTTGCTGTGCCATTCTCTTTAGACTAATGATCTATCTGCGCCTCCGCACTGTTTCCTCGCTCCCAAAGGGCCCTCACAATATCTAACTTGTCACACATCAATTCACCACCAAGTGGTGCAGAGCCAGCCAGTATATCTGCCTACTCATTTCCCAATACACCGGCATGACCTGGAGAAAATATCCATAGGCAGCGTAAAAGCCCAGATAATTTTAAAAAATCTCCATCACTGAGAATTTGAACACAAAACCACCAGGCACGAGAATTCTGGATCCTGAAGTTATAAAGCATAGGCCGATATTCTGAGTCTTCTGTTTTTCAAAAACAACATCACCATTTCATCATTTCATACTTAGCATCCAGCACTGACCTACAGTAGAACAGACCACACATAACATATTTCAGCTGAGCCCAAAGTGCTTTGTATTGATTCGGAAAATGGCTAGTGGTCTGTTCCCACAGAACTAGTTGTGCCTTATGTAATATTCCATGTGCAACTGCTGATTCCATAGATCAGGTTTTTGAACAACGGATCAGCATCATGGCACATGGGTAGTAACCCATAAGTGCTCCGTTCTTCTTCTCATTCAAGCCTGAACGAACGAACAGACTTTATTTTCAGAGGATTACAAATTGGGCACGCAGGCCCGTCTGACATTCGACCCTTCTAAGCACTCGTTTTTCAGAGTGCCAATGCCTGTTATCTAAAATGCATGTTATGGATATGAGTCCGAAGAAGCTCAGCACAGTGCACAGGCTCTGTAGCACCGTCGACAAGGATGGAGTTCGAACCCATACGGGGAGACCCCAATGGATTAGCAGTCCATCGCCTTAACCACTCGGCCACTTTCATAGATAATGAACTGCAGTTCTGGTGTCCGACTTATGCATTTAGCTTGCCATTGTCATTGCTGAGACCTCAGTCTGTTTCAGGTTTTTATTTTGTGTTTTGCATTTTTAAACAAGGATCAGTGATGGCCTTTTTGTGTGGTTTTAACTGGCATAGGGAGCCCGGCTCGCTAGCATAGTGGGTTAAACCTGACTTCACGGTGACCGGGTGACGAACTCCTTGTGGTCAGGGTTCACCCCCGGAGGTAGGCAGAAAAGCCACATTTCTCCCAGATTTACGGTATCTATCATGGAGTCATGGCTGAAGGGTTGTGATATCCACAGTACCGAGCAAAAGGGTTAACAACTCATGGTTTCTAGATATAAAAAAAAAATGCTGATCCATGTGAAGTTTGAACTGCTACTAACTGTTATGTCTCACCGTGTGACCAAACCAAGCTAGCTTGCCACATTTCACCACATCAGGAGCCTCTCTTGGCAGTGGTGAAACGTCGCAAGCTAGCTTGGTTTGGGCATGTGGTGAGACATGATTCGATTACAAAGACTGCACTTCAAGGAACATTGGGGGTAGTCGAAGACGAGGAGGTCAAAGAAGAACCTGGAATGATAACATTAAGAAATGGACAGGACTGAGTTATCATACACTTATTCGTCAAGCGAAAGTCAGAGAATGATGGCGAGTTTTATGTGTTAGTGCTTCCATCAATACATTTCCATGACCAAAATGGGTCAAGGGTTATGTTTTGTTAACTGACTAACTCATAACCTGTCATAGCAGGTACGTGTGCTTATGTTTCATGAAAAGATTGAACAAAAATTATTTGGCTTCTCTTTTAGTCATAGATGTTGCGTAGAACTCCAAGAACTGCTTATCTAATTGTGATATATCATCTAACACTGTTATTTTATTTATTTCAGGAATGGTTTGACTATGATGAAAAAGCTGGCCAGACTGTGAGCATTACAGAATTAAAGTATAGGTTTGCCACAGTCAAGATTTAAATTGATTGAAAAAGTGTGTTGCATTTTAACTTTTAAAATTATTTTAAAACTCTTGGGATCTTAGGTTTCATATTTTAGAAGTAGACTACCGAGTGCCTCCATGTATACCTCATTTTGGAGCTATGCATTTCCCTCCAATATCTGGGGTTTTTTTTCCTCTAGAAATAAATTGACGGTATTCACCACAAAATATCTAACAGACATGTGCTAGTACACTACAATGGTGCTTTAAAAAAAGATTTTTAGAAAAAGGTGCGGGTACCGTGTACTTTTGTGAACTGCCATTTTAAAAAAAAAGGCTGCCTAAAATCCAGAGGTGGGTGAACAACCAGAACTTTCTCCCCGAGTTTACACCCAGTGAACGCAAAGAAGAAAAAAATATGCAGGGACAGGCTTACATGACTAGTAGGCAACCATCTTTGGAGACCACGAAGCGTCTGCTGTGACTAAAGTCCAATGTGGGAATGGCAGTCTCTACCACATGATTCACATAAATAAGTGTTCATATTCTGTAATTTTGAAGCTGGTCTCCCATCTTTAGCTTGCTGCATTTGACCTCTTTCAAACAGTGACAGTCCGAAAGTCATCAACAACAAATGAAGTGGTTTGGGCACTTAACAAGAATGCCCTGGTACTATCTGCCACAGAGAGCCACACTAAAATGTTAAAACGGGTATAGAGCGAGTGGAAGACCTCGGAAAATATGGAGTGATGGCATTAAGAACAGTCTTACAGAAATAAACATCAGTCTTAATAGTGTTCTTGACAGAGCTCATCAATGAATTTTACATCTCCCCCGACACTTAAGTTAGGTACAAGGTGGAAGAAAAGAAGAAGACAGTTCGTCTTTTACTGTCTGCCTCTAGAGGAGTCAGCCTGTAGTTTGTCTCTCCTAAGTGTCTGTCAATGTTATAAAAATACCTTTCGGGCTGCATTTGCTTATGTCCTTTCTAGTGTAGTCTTGGCCATCCTGCAGATCTGATCCCTGCTATCAGTTCACCATACAGGAGACACTTTGGAATAACGATGTTACAATTTTCATAATTTATGTACAATAAAGTCTTGATGTAATCCTTTCAGCAGGTTTTAATTTGTTTGTAAAAACTTTGTATAAACTTTCAGCAGTGCCCTAAAGATATTAGGAAATCTTCGCTCAGTATCGTTTTTAACAAGGACATGAGTTGAGAGACTGAATGCTGCACTAAAAGTCTTGAGTGCTGTTTGTGTATTTTTGTTCAGTAGATTATCTCTGGTGTTGGAAATAGAGGTGACTGCATTCATGCTGGTGTTAAGAAGTAAAATTTTATGACATAAACTTCCCTATGTGGGTTCCAGGGCCAATTGAAATGCCCAGAGTGCATAAAAATAGGCCAGATTTGTAAAACAAAAAAGCATGCAAAGCTCAGGTTCTGAAACAAGACCAGAAGTGGATGAACAATCAAACCTTCTGCCAGGAGTTTACAGCCGATAAATGCGAAGAAAACACAGACTGTGATGTTTGTTTGTATCTGTAGCAGTCTTTTCTCTTCAGCTTGAGCTTTTTAGTCAGTGTCATGGGAATTAACATAGCTGGTTTACGTGAGCTGGTGAAATACCGTATGTGATAATTCTACGTGTGCATAGCCAGCTTGTTGTGCCCGGCTACTTCCATCAATGACAAACTGCATTCTGGTGGTGACTGTTGGCTTTGGCATCTCTAGCAACTGCCTGGGGGCTGCGTGGTCACGAGGCATGTTGTCCACCTCAAGTGCTGGAGGTCCACTGTTTAGGCCTCAGTGAAGGCTGGGATTTTTTCACGTGGACTTCTAGTAATTTCCCCTGATCTCTGGGTAGGAAGGTCGGCCACCCATGTGTATTATTGCGCACGTAAAAAATCCCTTGGCATTTAAAAATAAAAAAAAAGTAGACTATTGGCGCTGCCTGCGCAAAATTTTAAGTTGAAAATCTACCCAAATTATTTCAGGATCCTTGCTGGTACTTTGGAGTTTGTGCACTGCGCTGAGAACCTTCGGACGAAGTAGAATGACATGAGTTGTAGAATGGAGCACTTGTGGGTTACTACCCTTGTGCCATTATGTTGATCCGTTGTTTAAAACTAAACATAGCAACAGTCATATGCATTCACTGCGTGCGCATATTTCTGGATTGTTCCGGGACTGATTGTTTGTTTCTTCATCAGTTTTTTAAATGAAACATTTGGTTTTCACTGGTACAGAAATGGAGCAAGTGTGGGAAAACATGATTGCAGTGAAGTTGAAGTATCCACATAGATATCATGGCTGGTTGGGAAATAGAACTCCAAGAACTTACTACAAAGTTAGAGAGAGTTGTAAATATGGCATGGAAATTAATGCTGAGAAAAGCAAGATTCTAGTAAATAGTCACAATAACCAAGTACCTACCAACATTCAGATAAAAATGAAAAAAACTAGAAGAAGTTGAAACCTTTAAATATCTTGGCGCCCACATATGCAACGATGGTAGCTGTACCGAAGAAATCAAGACAAGACGTGATATGGCAACAGCTGCGATGGTGCAGCTGAATTCGATGTAAAAATGTAAAAATCATACAGCGAAATATGCCAGGCAAGAAATTGTGCAATCTATTGTTTGGGTCTTTGTTTAAATTTATAATGGGAAAACATTGCTTTGAATATAGATTTGATTGCTGACATGAAACAAGTGCACTGTCAAAACAAAAGGTCTTAGTTTGAATAGCAGAAAAACAGAAGTAATAGCAGTTGCAAAAAAAGTGGATCCTCCAAAATGCAACATCAAGATAAATGGGACAATTATCAAGTAAGTCAATATGTTTAAGTATGGAAGATATAAAAAAGAAGTTGAATGCAGAATAGCTCAAGCAAAAGCAGCCTTTCACAAAATGAAGAATATTCTATGCAGTATTTCTTTGTCAGTTGAGGTGAGAAAGATAATTCTCAGGAGCTTTATGAATCCTATCCCGATATATGGAAGTAAATCATTGATAGTTATGTGGAAGCAGCAGCATTGTGATTTTATAGACAAATGATGAGAACACCCTAGACAGATAAAAAGAAGAATGAAGACGTCTTGAAAGAAACTGACTCACAAAGAGAACTGATTGCCCACATCAGATTGAGACAATCTGCATTCTTTGGTCATGTCATGAGAAGGAAAAAACATGGAGTACATTGTTGTCAGGGACCTGGTATCTTAACTACAGCTCGTTGTACGGCCCTGTGACAGACACATTATACCAGAAAACACACACCTATTGAGTACACACATAATCTTTAATGCACAAAGAGACTTTACCTAATGCAACTTCAACAGTTATGGACAGTCCCTAAATCCGAAATTCAGGCGGTCGTAGCATTTATATTTACTTATCCACCCTGAGCCGTTCCCATGGATGTACAAGAGGACTCGATTCCACCTCCTGTTGTACAGCGCTAACTAGGCTGCGGTCCTCGCCATGTGAGACTCAGTGGCACAGGCAGGGTGAGTGGTTCAAGTATTAGCGGGCAGTGTCAACGCCAGCACAAAACGCAGCTAAACTCTAATAACCCATAGACAAGAACACCTATCAAAGCATGATACAACATCAACACAACTGTCTTAGCATACTATTAGCACACGAGGAATACCAACAGCTCACCAACACATATGACGACAACGCTAACAGTCCCTATCTTTCAACTCTTAACACAATACAACCTATCGCGTCTCTATGTCTTCGGCCTCATCCGTCCCTGTCCAACTGCTCTTCTTCCTCCCCGTTCAGCTCCGAGTAAAAACGTGTTAGTACCAGTGTTCAAGTTATAATGGTTTTTCCCCATATAGTCAATTCAGCTGGTTGACCGCTGGTGCACTTTTTGGTCCGTCAAACACAAACATGAAGTTACACGTCGTATCGTATTTACTCTGTCCCACAGGGCTATGACAATTGTCACGGTGGGAAAGTTGCAGGGGAAAAGTGGCAGTTTGACATCATGGTATGGAAGATCATCTGTGTCAGAACTGACTGAAAGTACATGAGACAGAAGGTTATGGATAGACATAACTACCAGCATGGACTAAAAAAAGTCTTACTTTGAAATATACAGTGCACTTATTTACATTCAATATACAGGGGGAAAGAGGCAGAGGGGGACAGAGAAAAGAGGTTTGACATTATGGCATGAAAGATGTGCTTCAGAATTGACAGAAAGTACATGAGCCAGATGAGTGTAGACAAGACTTATTTACATTCAATATACAGGGGGAAAGAGGCAGAGGGGGACAGAGAAAAGAGGTTTGACATTGTGGCATGAAAGATGTGCTTCAGAACTGACAGAAAGTACATGAGCCAGATGAGTGTAGACAAGACTGTCAATGCAATGTGGCATAGACTATACCAAAAAAAAAAAAAAAAGACGTAAATTTTGCCTTGGTGTGCACATGCATGTGCCAGTTCATATTACATTAAATATATCTAGACATCGGCTAGGCCAGTCACTCCTTTTACATCATTACATCCTTGTTGAATGGTTAGCATGCTAGGCTCTCAAGCAGGAGACTCAGGTTTGAATCCTCTGTAAGGCTAGGGATTTTGTCTGTCAGAGGCCCCAAAAAAATCCCCACCCGAAGTCGTGGCGACAGCACTAGCCATGTGGCCAAAAATCCTCAGGCAAATAATGCCCTGCCTACACCGCAAAAAGTGGCTAAATAAAGGCAGTAATTGGCAGTTTTAAATTTAACCTAGATTGTTTTATTTCATCTGTGATACATTTTCTACTTCTGTTCACTGATAATGACTGATTAAAATATTATTTGTTATCTGTTTGTCTTTTCTTTCTTGAGCTTCCTAATTCTAGTTTCAATAGGATCCATTTTCCTTATCAGCCTAACAACAGTTACTCTTCATTTTTGATACCACAGTGTATTTTTGCTTTGCATTTTTCTTAGAAACCACATCTTTGCCACCTTCAGATATTTCTCAGCTTGTCTTTTTATCGTCCATGTTACTAATTCATTTAATGGTTTCATTTTAACACTTTCCCCTCAGTGTTTTGTATTCATTATTCCTTAATTATATCCCCCCAAAAAAGTGAACACATCGAACACATTTTAGCACTACATTTTTCACAGATAATATACAATTCAACCATATAAGGAATATAACATTTCCGTTTATGAAAGTAAAAATGTTAACATTTCCAAATGGATGCACAATATATGCTGTTCAAAAAATGAAACACATAGCTACCAAAAGGAACATACATACTCACAATTTTGACATTCCGCATCTTTGTAACGCAATAAGTGAAATTACTCAAATTTCACACAATACCTTACCACAGCGGTTCTAAAACTTGTTTCCCCCGTGGCGAGGGAAGACAACTAACATTTTAACTCTTAAGTATCTACATGCCTGCTTTAATAATTTCACAATGTTTTGCAGACTTTTCATGATTACTGCGGCAGCACCCCTGGCATACACTAGCGGCATCCCAGGGTGCCAGGCACCCAGTTTAAGAACCTCAGCCTTACCAAGTGATACGTTTTTTTTTTTGCATCTGGGTAACGATAATATTAGGCATACAGCCTTTCCCGCTTGTATAGTGTGTGGCCCTCCTGGGCATGGATGTGATCATGTGTCTGACATAGGCCTGTGGGATGGATGCCGGATCTTCCTAGAGTGCCTGGAACAGAGTTAAATCAGACTCATGTCTGCAGTCAGGGATGAACAGGGAAGGGTTTTAGTGTTACTGACAGCCAAGAACTGCGTGGTCAACCCTGTCATCCCGAGAAGACTAAATCTAGTAGTTATGACACATTCCCATAAATGCCGATATACCGACCTGGCCGCAGTGACCTGTTCTCAAAATGCGTAGTTAAATTCTTTTAGTTCTCTGTGAGCCTGTGCAGTGTTAAATAAGCTAGGATATTATTAGTAACAAAAAACAGCATTTCGTGGGGTTTCCTTGCGACCCTAGTGTTTTTTTTTAAAGCCAAATGGATGTCAAATTTTTCTGTAGGCCTCCATTAAAAAAAGTCACGGGTAATGGCATGAGTCACCCAATATATATATATATATATTTGTTTTATGCCCCGTGAAATGTATTCCATCTACTCTATGTTTATCACCTTTATACATCTATATTTTTTTCAGGAAACAAAAATTTTAAAATGTACACAAATAAACTGTTAAAACAATTTATTAGTGACCTGTGGAAAAATGTGCATTTTCAAGGTTGTTTTCCGGGAATTTCCATAGATTCATTTATGTTTTTCTTTAAACATTTGCGGGACGAAAAGGTTAAGGCTGAAAGGCAGTTGTACAAAGATTTTAAGAAGAAAGGACAAGTCACTACAACTTTGGGCTTCTGGCCAAAATGGAGGAAAGGCTTGGCAAAATGTTTAGCTTCGAAGTTATTTTTTTTCCAACAGTGCTTTGCTTATGCAGTTTCCACATAAGGAGGGTAGTCTAAGGTTTCGCTGCCTGAGCTACTGAATTTAGTGCTTAATGCAGCCCTGTGAGCTGTGTTTTTTCTTTTGAATGCCTTTAATTTGTACAGCTGTTGTATCATTTTGTTCAATATGGCCGGTGACTGAAAACGTGTGAGCTGGTGAAATTCCTTATGTAGGAGTTCTACGTGTGTATAGTAACCAATGTATCGTGCTTGACTACTTCCATCAACGACAAACTGCACTTCTGGTGATGATTGTTGGCTTTGGCGCCTCTAAAACTGAAATAGGCATTTGTTTGGTGCACACATTTCTGGACTGTTCCGGAACTAGTTGTATATTTACCAGTTTTTCAAATGCGACAGCAAGGGACATTTCATTTGATTAGCACTGGCACAGGAACGGAGCAAGTATGGGGAAACCCGATTGCGGTGATGTTGAAACCTCCACTAACTAACTATCTAACCTTTAGGTACATTGTGTGTATAAGGTGTTAGCCTCTATTTAGAAACCAATTAGCATTCAACTGTCGATGTGGTCAGTATCATACCAGTTGCCTTCTTTTCCCAGAATATCCTTAGTTTTGGTGATGTTGAAACTGAAAATCCTGCTGGTGCATTTAAAAAACAAACTCTGCCTGGATGGGGATTATTCTTCATTTGTCTTTAAAGGGGTACTGCCTTGTGGTTTACAGCTAGGCTGTGATATCACTGCCTGTGAATCTGAAACATCTGATTTCGGCAAACCCCTAATTAGTTACCTCTTACAGAATTCTTTTTAATCGAGGTAATGAGTCTATTCATTTTCCTCCTAAAATGGGGCCCCAGAACCCCCAAGAATAACTGGGATTCAAACATATGACGACTGTGCTACCTTGACGACACTGCAGAGATTAAAAGTAAAGCACCCTTTCCTATGTCTGCAGGCATATTGGGCACATCATGTCCGTACCTTTACTTCCCAGGAATTTACCTGGTACCTATTCAAGGCTAGGTCGACCTGCGAGCCAAGGTCAATTAGAAAAAAAAAAAAAATTTTCAAGTCTGGTCCCGTCAGGATCTGAACCTACGACTTTCGCGTCGGCAACTTGAAGAGAGTGTATAGCATACAATTAAACACATATTGTAGAAACTGTACAGAAAAATTGAGTGAGTTTAACTTAGGTAAAGCTATGAATCAAATGCAGTTCCTAATGCCTGAATCACACACAAGGGTAAAATATATACAAAATAATTCATGGGTGTTCAGTAAATAGTAGATAATGGTTTTAGTTTCAAATCATACACAAGTGTAACTAATATATAAAATATTTCACGGGTATTCAATAAAAATGTGATAATGGTTTCACTTGTAATGTAAACAACATGCACACACATCAGCATGTAACAGGCTTTTTGCATAATGTTGCTCTCATCAGTCTGCCTATTATGGCCTGGAGAGAATGAGGCACCTGGGTGTAATGAGAGGGTCTGGCCGGCTAAATAAACTCAGAAGAAAGACATATAACCAGATTGTGACTGCTATCGTCAGTATCGAAACTCTATACTGGCTGCTGAAGATGAGGACGGAGCACACATGGGAATGCCCCGAGTGCTGTGATGTCAATTCTTGACTCAACTCATCAGTGTGCCTGAAAGAAACTCGGTAACATGCTAGCTCTCCTGCACTTCCATACCTAAAATGTCACTTATATCCTGTGTCCATCTTTGTGCTGGTCAGTCCCTGCCCCTCTTTCCTCGCACCATGCCTTTTCTTCATCATTTAAATGCAGAGCAGGATCAACAAAAATATACATAAATATATTTGGTTTGAGATCTGAGAGGCCACCTTTCAATACTTTCAAGAGTCTACCACCAGGACAGCGACGATCAACTGTCACTATAATCTCTGAAGCATCTGCCGTACTTGATGAAAATCCTAGGACAGAAAAAAGAGAGGCTATTTTAACTATAAATATCATATATCGTCACAAGTGGGTTGTTACAATAGTAGGACTGTTTGTTTGCTAATTGACTATGGGAATCCAGTCGTTCTGGATCCTAATCACAAAAGGCAGTGGCCAGCAGGTACTGAAGAATCAGAAATTCAAAAACCGAGTCATGACAATTCAACCAAGGTAATGTTATTATCTACTGAGAAGCAGCATAAAATGCACACACACACACACACACACACAAAAAGGCAAGGTGCCACAAAAAAAGGGAAATGGATCTTGCTTAGTACAGCAAAAACCATAAGATACTACAACATCTAATTTGAGAATGGAGGTGGAGGCAGTCACAGCCTGAGAACCAGCTGCAAACATATGTTAGATCCACAAGCATGCTGAGAAAGGCATGCTCCGTTCAAAATGGCAAGCATCGCTTCAGAGGTCCCTGGTAGTTAGTGTCCTGATATTTTAGATATTTTCTTCAGGGTAGGCAGGTGAGTTGGGAAATGAACAGGCAGACAAACTGGCTGGTGCTGCACCCCTTGGTGGTGAACAGATGCATGTTAAGTCAAATGTTCTCAAGGCAAGTGAACTATGCAGAAGTGCAAATAGATCATTATGGTGTGAAGAGAATGGTGCAGCAGGAAGTGTCCAGGGGATCTGTCGCACACCGCACATTCGAAAGACAAGGCGCACATAATCAAACTGTGACTAGTACAATCGTCTTTTTCTTCTTCGTGTTCACGGGCTGTAACCTCCAGTGGAAAGCTCTGGTGTTTGATCCACCTCTGGACTGCAGACTTGTTCCAGAACCTGGGTGTTGCGTGCACATCCATTCTACAGATCTGACTTATTTGTATGCAGACTATTGGATTCTCTGGTTTTGGAGGTTGTGCACTGATGCAACCCCTATGTATGTTTCCAGGCTCCCTTTTGAAGAACAAAGAATAGCCCCACTAACAGTCATACCTAACAAGCATGTAGCAGGAGGCGACTATCTGGGGTTTTTACTTGAAAGTCGGAATGCATCTGCCTGAAAAGCAAGGAACTAACAGTCTGCATACAAACAAACCAGATGTGTAAAACATATGTGCACATAAAACCCAGGTTCTGGATCAAGACTGGAATCCAGGAGTGGACAAAGAACCAGAACTTTCTGCCAGAGTTTACAGCCAGTAAACACTAAGAAGAAGGAGATTTTTGTTGAGATTTTACTTTGTGTGATTTGGTGAGGCAACTGGAACCGTTATTCATCTCACTCAAGCTCTATTGTCTCAGCAAGTCCATCTATTCCATTTAACCCCTGACTAAAAGAGTTATTACTTTAAAATAACAACTGCATGGGTAGAAAGAGTTAAAACAAAAAGCTGGCTTTAGATCAGGTGTTCTACACAAGCAGAGGAGAGGCTGGCCGAATGGTTAAGACAGCAGGGTTTACGCAGGAGACCTGGATTTGAATCCTCTGCAAGGTTGAGGACTTTCTAACATCAAGTCCATGGCAACAGCACTAGCCACGTGGCCCTAAATCTTCAGGCTCAAGAATCCCTCCCTCTGCCTATAACACAAAAGTGGTTAAAAAAAAAAAAACAGTAGAGGCAGTTCACACAAACAGAACCTACCTGGGCATTCTTGAAGAGGAAAGACCGAGAAATAAATAGCTTTCTTTTCTGAGGACAGAATCTCCACAGATGAAGTACTTCACCTGTCAGAAAATAGAAAAACAAATCCAGCATTTCAGCTTCACAGTTGACATGAAATTAACTGTAGCTAAATATGTACAGCATAACTAGAATGTCTTTGCACTGGAACCCACAGGGGCATAGGAATAAAGGAAGGCCAAAAAACACATGAAGAGAGATGGAGAATAAAGTTAGAAAGATGGGGAGGACACTTGGCGTGAGTTGGTTGAGGGCCTATGCTCCATTGGGGGATAGAAAGGCAGAAGAAGAAGAAATATGTCCACACAGTCTTTTTTTAACTGCAAACAAGTAAATGCTCAGGAATGCTGAATGTGCAGTGATGGGGACTGTGATCACATGACCTACATAAAGTAACTATAAAACATATCATCATCGTCTTGCCAGCTGGCATAGGCATTCATGCATCTCCACAGATCTCAGTCATAAGGGTTCTGGGTCAATTCCTCCATGCCACTGTCTTGACATCCACCATCATTTCTCTTCGTCTGCCTCTTCATATTTTCCAGTGCTCCTTTTCTCATCACATGACCAAAGAACCTTTCTTGTCTCTTTTTCATTGTCGTATACAATGTTCTATTTTCATTAGCCATTTCAAGACAATCACTGTTAGTTGTTCTGACAGTCCAAGGTATTGACAAGATTCTTCTCAAGAACCACATCTCAGTTGCCTCCAAAACTCTTCTTAATTTGTTTGCTCACATTCCAAGATCCACTGCCATACAACAGAACAGGCTCGATATAACATTTAATTAAACACAGCTTTTAAAAACTGACACAAACAACAAAATAAAAGTCTAAATATTAATTAAAATAAAATAAGGCATACCAGAAATTGTTTTAGAATATAAACCATCGGCCCCTGACACAAAGAAATTTCCCCGAGAGCAACTGAACTGTTCAATATTACGAGTGTTAATCATCAGATCCTCTGTCAACGGAGAAAACATAGAGGAACCTGATGAATTACAGTCTTCCGTGTGAAAAATGGTTTCACTGTCCATGCACTGTAGGTGTAGGAAACGTCTGCCTGCAACAGTGAAACAAATAACATTTTTGAGTTTGTGTTATTTCCTATGGTGGGCACAATATAAACAATTTATGTTATGCTGATGACACAGTCTTCATAGCAACAAGTCAGAAAGAACTACAGGAAATGATAGACATTGTGGTGTTAGAAAGTGGAAGAATGGGCCTCAGTTTGAATAATGGGAAGACAGAAGTAATGGTGGTATCAAAGAAACGAACTATTCCTAAGTGTGTAATAAAAGTTGATGGTGTTATTTTAGGACAAGTACAGAAATTTAAGTATCTGGGCACATGGATAACATCAGATGGAAGATGCATAACTGAGATAAGAAACAGAATAGGAAAGGCAAAAACTGCATTTTATAAATGAAAAACATCTTGTGCAATATATCCTTGTCATTGAAAGTTAGAAAAAGAATTCTTGCTTGCTACATACATCCAGTTTTAACATATGGCTGTGAATCCTGGACAATCGGTGGGCAGGCCAAACAATTTCTAGAGGCCTCAGAGATGTGGTTTTACAGAATAATGCTTAGAATACTTTGGACAGCCAAAAAGAGCAACCAAGAGGTTTCGAAAGAGGTGGGAGCCAGAAGACAACTTATCACAGACATCAGAAGGAGACAGTCGTCATTTTTCGGCCATGTTATGAGAAGAAGGAAATTAGAACATGTTGTGACCACTGGAAAGATCTGTGGAAGGAAAGATAGGAAGACAACGAGAGAAGATGCTTGACAGTCTTGTTGCATGGCATGGAGGTGTGTCGGCACACGAACTGATACATGCTGCAGGAGATCGCAGATTATGGAGAGGCATGATTGCCCATGCCAGTCGGCAAGGCACCTGATGATGATGATGATGATGTTATTTCCTATCCTGAAACAAGTTGTAAAAGTAAAGGACCCTTTTCCGTGCCTTCAGGTATATAGGGCATATAGTGCTAGAACTATATTTTACAGACCAATCGATTTTGGTTTGTGATATGGTCAACATCCTGTCGGTCATCTTTACTTACCAGGTTTTTACCTGGTACCCATTTAAGGCTACGGTCAACCTAGGAGCCAAGGTCATTTAAAAAAAAAAAAAACTTCTCTGTTCAGATTTGAACCCACAGCCTTCAGATCCACACAGCGACTCCCATGAAACTAGTTAGGTACCTTTAAAATATCATAAACTGGTACATGTAAATGCCAGCAGGTCTTGCTAGTAACAACATCACCACGGGTAGTGAATCCTATACCTCCTTATGGTACAATATAACACTATGGTGAAGTGATAAAGCCATTTGCCTCGCACTCTGAAGGTCATGGGTTGATTCCACGGCTGCGCCCCTCAGTTCACGAGTGCAGTTTTTACGGAAATCCCCGAGGATCATCACTGGAGCTACAGAGTTTGTGCTCTGTGCGGCATTCTCCGCAGGTGGCTAGCTGTTCTGTGGAGAGAGACTGAATCATATGGGATAAAACTGTGCAATGAAATCGATCCTCTCGATCATAACCTGACTTGCAAAGCTCTTCGCAAGGTACCAACCAACCAACAACTAATGGAACACAAATAACTAAAGTAATAACAAGCACAAAGTGAGGTAATGTAACCACTAATGGAACACACACAGTCAAAGCAATAACAAGTACAGTGAGGTAAAATAACAACTAAGCAAACACAGAGTTAAATTAATAACAAGTAGAAGGTGAGGCAATGTAACTAATGGAACACAAAGAGTTTATTTTCTTGTCCGCCTCACTTACAAACTGCCAAACACTCTCAGGTCGACCCAGCAAAAATGCATACCAGGTAATTTCAGGAGAAGTAGAGATGGACAGCATGATACTGTCCAAACATCCACTGAATGTCAAGTGAGGTATAATGCTATGCAGAGTTAAGAATCAACACTACAGCACTTGGGTCATACAGCTTGCAAAATTCCCATAAGCACTCCATCCCCATCTTCAGCAGCCAGAAAAGAGTTCCAGTCTCAATGGTTCCAGTATCAGTTTAATTACATGTAAATCTTACCTCACCTCACCGTGGGGTGAAAGCTAGATACCTTGGTCACTTCCCATCCCAATGATCCCCTTACAACTTGATGAACTAGTCATGCTTCAAAATCATTAACTTGCTCCCAAAGGGCCTTAACCACATCTGGCTTATCATGTATCAGTTCATCATCCAGTGGTGCAGCACCAGTCATTCTATCTACCCGTTCAGTTCCCAACACGCCTGCCTGCCCTACAGAAAATATCTGAATGACATTAACTACTGGAAACCTCTGAAGTGATCTACAGGGGACTTCTGAAATGATGCTTGCCACTTTGAAAGCAGCACGCCTTTCTCAGCAGGCTTTGTGAGTCTGTTTCAATCCCCGCATGTGTATACATGTGGTTTTCAATCCAATGAAAAGTTGCTGTAACTGCTGCCATCTTCATTCTCAAAACTGATGTTCTGGTATCATATCGGTAGGCTTTGGTGCACTAAATGACATTCATTTGCTTTTGCAATGAACCCCCATGAATCTCAACACATAGCCATCTGTTCAGATTATCACATCACCTGTGTGGGGATTGACATGAATCAGTTGCCGAATTTCTGATTCTGCAGCTGACGGCAAGTCTGTGCACTCCTGACCCAATGTGATTAGAACATTACATAAGTCTGATTTTTGCTCCACTTTGACCCATCCCCCCCCCCCCCCCCCACAAAAAATTTTGTTTTTGTTTTGACAAGCTCATTTGTATGCAGACTACTGGTTCCTTGCCTCTCATGAAAATGCACTCTGACTTTGAAGAAAACCTCACTAATTAGTCGCCTCCAATAACATTCTTGTTGGGGAGCATTGGCTCTATTCCTGGTTTTCCAAAATGGAGCTCCTGTACACAGACAAGAGACTTTTCTAAGATGACCGGACCAAGAGAATTAAGTTGCCAAGACTTACTTGCAGCTTGTTCGTTGACATGATAGTTTCTAATATTGCTGTTGTATCCATTCCCAAGCTCATTACCACCATAAACAGCGTCGGCACTATCTGAAGATATTCGTCTCTTCTTGGCCACATAGAAGCCATTCTCAAGCTGTGAAACCTGCTGGGGACAATGCATTCTGTGTGCTGACAATGCAAATGAAGGCTTAGAATTTAATGCACACAAATGGCCCAGACAGTGGTGTCTCTATGAAAGTCCACACAATCTTTCTGAAAGCCCACAAAATAGTTTAGATAGTACTGTCTTTAAAAGCTCACAATAGGGATTAGATAACAGTCTATGAAGACACACAGCAGGTCATAACACTGCCTTTTTGCAGGCCCACAAAATTGTTCAGGCAGTAGTCTTTAATAAAGCTTACAAAGCAGTTCCATCTGAACTATGTCCAACAGATTCAAAAGCTGAATTTTTCCAGTGCATCAGCTGAATATTATATGTAGATGGATTCTCTGAAGATAAAGAATGAAACAAATCATCATTAAAAAATATACTCTAAAAACACCAGTTATTCAAAGACAACATCCGATCTTGTATAGTACTGAATGCCGAACATTGTCCCTGTTCTGAATAGTGTCCTCGACTCTACTAAAGAAGTTTAAAACGGTTTTGCTGGCTGAAAAATTTTTTCCGCTATTTTGAAAATTAACTAATGAATTAACCCCATTCCCCCTTTCCAACCTTAAATAACACAGCACGGCATTAGGAAACATGGAAATGCACAAATTTTAGGACATTTATAGAAGTTAAAGTTCTTATTTCCAGCACACACTGGATGGCAGGTTACGCAACCGCAACCGTCCTGGCCCCTAATATTACTGTTTATGCAGTTCAACAAGATTTCAAGGAATTGTACCTATTTGATTCTCAGCCTTGAGGTGTTTATCCTCTAGTCTACAACCCCAGAATAGAAAACTATCAAGCCCAACCTGTTAAATGATATATTTGGCGGCCCTCTGGAATTTTCTGTGGCCCACCAGAACACTCTTAAACAGGAGTCGATACTCATCGCAAAGTGTCTATCACAGTAGAACTGCAGGAAAAAATGATGCCTACAAAAACAAAAGTGCCAGTACTGCACCAGTTGCGTACCATCAGAAAAAAAAAAAAAGCCCCAGAGTGTGAAATACTTATCAAGTCCAGCTATTTGTTCTAACATACTACACTGTTTTTTTTATGTAACATTAAACACTGAATAATTTTTGAGAAGTCTTACAATGAAATTTTGGAAACTGCCACATGCCTGGCACTTTACCTGTAAAAAACATGTATGCGTCTTATGATAGAGCCAACTAAAGTGACTCTTGACCTATTTTAAACATATGATACGGCTGACATAATCCAAGGCAAAAATTCCACAAAGGCTGAGTTATTATTATAGCCTGATACAAAGTAGGAAAATGTTTTACCATGGCCTTTATATCAGATTGTTATTATCTATGTGATATGGGCTGCATATTTATGATAACATTTATCTATCTACTAGCATGCTCACATATATCTATCTATTATTCTTCATGTCAGCTCCATTTTAGAGAACAAAGAACAGACCCCCTCACCCCTTCCTGTTGTAGGAGGTGACTAATTAGGTGTTTCATTCAGAGTCATAGTTCATCTGCCTGAGAAGCAAGCAACCAACAGTCTGCATACAAATAAGCCAGATATGTAACACGGATGTGCACACAAAACTCAAGTTACGGATCAAGACCAAAGTCCAGCAGTGGACAAACAACCAGATATTTCCACCAGAGTTTGCAGCCCGTGAATGCTAAAAAGAAGAGAAGAAGATTACCCTTTCCTTGCTTTTTTCCCCAGTCACCACATTTTTTCTTTTGCATTTTACCTTCCAGAGGCTTTTAACTCTTCCAGTAATAGAGGCGTAATTATAACCGATTCCAGGCTAATTAATGGTCAAAATTGCAGAGTGAGGATGGCAGAGTCCTTAAGGACATCCTCTATAGTGAATATAGTTGCACAGAAGATGTTAAGACCGGCCTCTACTATAGTATAAAGATGTATGCAAGCTGCACATGAATGATACGGGTACTGATGTAGATTTGTAAGGACAAAATGTCAAGGAGCATTTTGCATGGAGGGGGGCATATCAAGGAAAAGAGAATGGAGGAAACAACGATTGAAGAATGAATGAGAGCTGAACGTCTGAGAAGAAACATACTAAATACATGTCACGGCAATACGGGCCCTGAAATCCCATGCTCTAACTGAACTGTGGAAGATTCTTCTTAACATGGTGGGGGGGGGGGGGGGGGGGGGGGGGGGGGGGGGAAACGGAGGTGTTGCTAGTCATACTTGCCATTGCCATGGGCTATGTTTTTACTGCTTCCTCAAAACACAGTATAACACTATTGTCTGGAAAGACAAAAAGGTGCCAACTACCTTAATGAGTGATTTCTTCAACTGGTTCTACCCTAATAAGTAATTAATTTAACTGGTTCTACTCTAATAAGTAATTAATTTAACTGGTTCTACCCTAATAAGTAATTAATTTAACTGGTTCTACCCTAATAAGTGATTTCTTCAACTGGTTCTACCCTAATAAGTAATTAGTTTAACTGGTTCTACCCTAATAAGTAATTAATTTAACTGGTTCTACCCTAATAAGTGATTTCTTCAACTGGTTCTACCCTAATAAGTAATTAGTTTAACTGGTTCTACCCTAATAAGTGATTTCTTCAACTGGTTCTACCCTAATAAGTGATTTCTTTAAATGATTCTAATTGCACCTTCCACATGTGGGTTCATGTGCCCCATTTTGAAAGGAAGAAAGAACAGACCCCCCCCCCCCCCAACAAACATGTCATAAAAGGTTGCTAATTGGGAGTGTATCCTTTGAAGTTAGCATGCATCTGCCTGTGAGGCCAGAAGAAAGGAAGTGGCCGTCATAATGTTGACCGTTTCACACACTAATGTTGACCGTTTCACACACTAATGTTGACCGTTTCACACACTAATGTTGACCGTTTCACACACTAATGTTGACCGTTTCACACACTAATGTTGACCGTTTCACACACTAATGTTGACCGTTTCACACACTAGATGCCAACTGGTCAGTAAAACATAGGTCTAGCACGATAAAACCAAAATACCTAAAGGTGTGGCCCCTTAGGATGAAAAACCTGGCTGTTCGACCCTTTCTGGACTTTTACTTTGTTCCAGGACCTGAGTTTTGTGTGTGCATCTGTTTTACAGATCTGGCTTATTTGTATGCAGACTGATGGTTCCTTGCCTCTCGGGCAGATGCACTCCGACTTTTAAGAAAGCTCCCAATTAGTCGACTCTCATGACATGCTTGTTGAGGAAGCAGTGGGTCTATTTTGTTTTCCCCACAATGGGATCCCCGGAACCCACACAGGCAGAGAGATTAAAAGCAGAAGAAGCAGATGATGAAGAGAATGAAGAAGGAAGAAGAATTTTCTCTAATTCTTTGATAGTCTATATGTTACTTACTTTTACTTTCTTTGGAACAAAATGTACACTTGACAACTAAAATATTAAGATAGTACTACAAACTGTACCCTCAAGTAATATAACTACTGTACAGCAATGAAAATAACTAACAAGCGGGGAAAAACACCCCCCGATATAATACAGAGTAGCCATTGAAAGCTGCGGTCACCAAATGCATCAATATTCCAGCCACACTAGCAACCCCATACGTACTTGAGCTGTACTGTTTAAGAGACACTGATAACAAACCTGCCAGGGCATTAAATCATTTGCCAGCATTTTACTGATGTTTGACAAGCTCTTATCTGTCACTGCAGTTGGTTCGGCTCTTTAGTTATGCAAGGACAGTTGTTTGGCAGAAGGCCAGTTAAAATAAAGTTATCACATCATTTTGTCATTCTGATTCTTTGTGTGGGTTCCAGTGCACAATATATTTTGTTGGAGGGGTGTTGGGTAGGGGTAGACAACACATCCACTTCCTCTCCCCCCACCAACCCGAAGCATATTGTAAAAGTCAACTAATTAGGGGTGCTTTCTTTGAAGTCAGGATGCAACTGCCTGAGAGGCAAGGAAACAATTGTCTGCATATAGATCCGTAAAATGGATGTACACATAAAGCTCAAGTTCTGAAACAACACCATTACCCATAAGTGGATGAACAATCAGAACTTTGCCCCACTTTACAGCTGGTGAACGCAAAATAGAAGACCCTGTTCTGATCACTCTTCCTATGTCCGTTATCTCCTAATGGAGAATAAACCCTTAACCAACCCATTCAAGCAATTTAAAGACTTATTCATAGCTCATGACTGTTTTCAGATATAGCAGCTACAGTATTTAATGAGATGAGCCTGACAGTCTCAAAACCACCCACCCTGTAAGCAATATTTCACCTTTTCAGATGATAGTTTTATACCGAGTTAACAGAGAGGCATGGGAATCACAACCAAAAAGGCCAGGGATGAACTTCTTCTCCACAGCACAAAGCCTGGGCAGTGTTGTAGAGACCATGTGCAGCATGATACCTCTCTCTGTCTGCTACATTAAACCCCCCCCCCCCCCCAAGGTAACACTAATCTGCTTAAAACAAAGCATGCTGCAGACATTGCCAGATGGGAAGAACAGTGATATGGTTGTCTATCTGTTAGAGATTCCCCCCTGTACAAGATGCCAAGGCTAAGGGTCTGGCCTGGTCTGTCCTGTCATAGCATCAAGTTTTTAGGCAACATTTCCTCTTCCTGTTAAAAGGTGAGGAAGATGTACTCCTCTGCTCATTTCTGTGGGTCCAATGAAGGATGAGATTTTTGGTCTACAACACCCAACATTCAGCATTACCAGGGAACAGGTAGTAAGTACCTTCTCAGCATTCATGGACTGTAAACTATACTATCACAGAAAGCTCTGGTTGTCTGTCCATTTCTGGCCTTTAGTCTTCTTCCAAAAACTGAAGCAAACAAACCTCTTTTTAGTCTACTCTGACTCCCTGCATGGGTTCCGGGGCCCCCTTGTTGGAGAAACAACAACGGACCCAGTGCATTCCAAGTAAACATGTTGTAAAAGTCGTCTAGTTAGGGATATCCTTCGAAATCAGAGGGCATCTGCATGAGAGGCAGGGAACCAAGAGTCTGCATACAAATATGCCAGGTCTG